ATTATTCCGCCAAACGCTCATTAGGAGATTCTTAATCTTTTCTCAGTTTTATTGGGAAGCATTGCATTTGGCCATAGAAACATAGTCATTTTTATTTGGCGTGGCCTTTAAGCCTTTCCACAAACCATAGAGCAGAGGGCTCATTCACAATAGTTAGCACAGTAGCTTTTTAGAGCATGTTAACTTAGTCCCCATCCTTCCATCAGCACTTATCTGACTATGAAGCATCTTGGAAGTAATTTAAGTCAAATATTTAAAAAACCCGTGTGTTGTGAGTTGTAAGATATAGCCACAAAGGCCGTAATTGTAGAAGCAAGGAATAATATTTAAAGTAGTCACTTCATGAGAACAGCAGCTTGCCTAGGTCTGGGTAATTGACATGCACCTATTTAAAGCCTGAACATTAACTTCAGCTGGCAATACCGTAAGATAAATTGTATTCTTACAGGCTACAGGATATTCATCATCTTTTCCCTTAATTCTCACATTTAAAGAGTCTATTAGGTCTGTGAGTAACATAAACATCCTGAAGGCAGAAGTCAAATATAAGACATCCTTTGGATGCCATCTCACTGAGAGTTAAAGTTTCTAGGAGTTATGGCATCCTCATGTGATTGTTCTTGTCCATTCTAGGAGACCAGCCTAAAATATATCCATTATTTCTAGACATCTTGTGTTGTACTGACAAGACATGCACAATCCATCCACTTAGAAAAGCGGCCAACTTTTATTGTGGAACCATTAAGGCAACCATACATTAGTGGATATTCTATGTAAGTAACTGGCCTGTCTAGGAAAATTCCATTTCAACAATCTTTCTATTTTGACAATTGTCCAGATGAGTAGTCTTGATTTCTAAGGGCCAGCATAATTGGCTGGTTTAGGTTTCTCATATGCTGCTTTTTCTTAAGATACTCCCAGACAGCCTGCTTACCCTAGGATCAACATATAGGTAGAGCTGACCATTACATTCAGTACAATTAATCTAGTAATATGGGTGGACTTTCTAGTTACACTGCAATGTACATTAAAAATGGACCTGAGAAATGGGTCCACAGAAGTCTCTTCATAATTTTTACTTACCTGTCAAACTCGTGAAGCTGTGTGGTTGTAAACTCTGCAGTTGGAAATTTACCTTCCTGTGCCAGGTTTCTCAGTCCTTTTCATGATGACAAGTTTAAACTCTCCTTTGAAATCTGATTTAATTTACTGAATCATGTTCAGGAGCAGTGAGATTCTCGATATTACAATTAAGAAAAAAAAATTTAAAAGATTTTGTAAGATCTAGTGTGTGCCTCTCAGGTTCTGTTTTCTCCCTTTTCTTTATTTAATAAAATTGAGTAAAGGTTTTCTTTGTTAGTAGTAATTGAGGCTAGATATGGAAATGAGATACCTTTCATTGATTATTGTAGTTTCCCAAAATATAGACTAGTTGATCCATTCTAACAATTTAGAAGAACCCTTAATCTCTTTCTGAGAGGAGGTCTCAAAATATCTCTATATCTCAGTATATTATTCATTAATTAGGTGTCTCTTAATTGTCTCTTAGAAAATATGATTAAGTTTACTTTCCAACATAGGAAGTAGTATATAAATCTTACCATATTTTTATGGATAATAGGTCCAGTCAGAGAACTGACATAATATCAATGAATTTTCAATGAGGTTTGCATCTTTTATTATTCAAAACTAACATACGACTTTAATTTGGAGAATCTCAGTCTTAATAAAATGTTCTCCCAAATCTCAAAATTATCCAACAAACAAAAGTAATATGTAAGAATCAGCAGTGTCTTTGAATCAATCAAATGTAGTGTCCAAGGAGAATTTGTCAAAATTGGGATCTAAGTCAGCAGTTTAATATATTTAGTGTCTAATCAAGGATGTGAATTTATTAATCAAAATTAATCCTTGCCTTAAACTGTACACAATAAAGACCTTCCCTAAAGGAAAAAAAAAAAACTAACATTTTAATAGGTCTTTATCATGTCAAAATATAGACAAAATTTTATTTCCCATCATCATAGTAAAAATCATGGAAATAGCCTAAAATGTCCTTGAATTAGTCAGTTAAAGTTTTTACAGTCAGTCCAGTACATATAAATCTCTTTTTTAATTGTTTTAACTTTCTATATCATCTGTCTAGATAATGACATAAAGATTTTCCTATTTAGGAAAATACTTTTATCATTAAAATCGAGAATATAAAGACCTTGTTTTACCCAAAGATGATTTCTTTCTTCTTCGTAGGGCCTCCAATGTGTTCCTCCTCTCTGTTGAAGCAGCTTTTCCTTTTAGAATTTTTCCTGGTTATATTTTGGAACAATTTCTGAAAACCTTAGAATCTAAACAAATTATTGTACCTTGATAAGAAGAAATGTTTCAGTGAAAATATAAAGTCCTTGGATATTTCTGTAAACAGAATTATATCTGTTTATCATCTAATAAAAGTTTGTACAACAATTTGAGAGTTAGAGATTACGTGATGGTTGTATTATCTCTTGAAAGCAAATTTATAGTAAAATACATTTATCTCAAATATCTGTAACAAAAAGGCAGAGCATGTATAAATGCATGTATAAAAGGTATAAATTATGGGGTTTCTGTTGAAGAAAAACAATTAGACAAATATATATTAACTAAACAATTAGACATCTATGCTAATTATTTTATAGATTAACAAATATAGGTTATCTAAATACCTAGAAAAATATATATAAAGAATAAGGGCATGGGGGCTGGGGATGTGGCTCAAGTGGTAGCATGCTTGCCTGGCATGAGCGGGGCGCTGGGCTTGATCCTCAGCACCGCATAAAAATAAAATAAAGATGTTGTGTCCACCGAAAACTAAAAAATAAATATTAAAAAATTCTCTCTCTCTGTCTCTCTCTCTCTTAAAAAAAAGGGCATAATGCATAATTGTATTAAATTTATGTAACCTCGTGGTTCTTAAGATATTTGGATCCATTTCAATTGATTTTTAACTAGGAGTGCACTCTTGTATGTGATATCATGTGAAGTAGCTGAAATAAGAAATAGCCTAAAATATCCTTGAATTAATCAGTTAAAGTTTTTATAGTCAGTCTATATTTTTTATTTTTGTATTTTTTGTAATTACATAGTTAGAACTGAAAACAATAAGGATTTTTTGGTCATCACAGGAACATTACTGGCTTTTGTTCCTGCAGCGAGCAAATGTATCCTCATAACCTCCAAAAGAAAAGTAAAATATAAAGAAGCATGTGTTTGATATCTCTTATCAATAGAACATTTGGTAATGTAACCCTAGAGAAAAGTCAGGTTATTTAACTTAAAAATAACTTAAATTTAGGGCTGCAATGTAGAAACCTGTGGAATTAGATTTTTCCTGGAAAAGATATCTTTCGTTAGCATTTACAGGTGAGCATTCTTTTAAAAAGTAGGCGCTGTGTAGCTCCCGGTAGCAGGTCTGAAACAGGAAGAGCGGGTTAGTGGCTGGAAGGCGGGACCAGAAGTCCTGTCTGAGTGACAGTAGAAGGACCAAAGGGAAGCCCGTGGAAATGCGGGAGGCAGGACCAGGAAGTCCGACCCTCCAGCCAGGCATGGGCGGTTACCATGGTGATGAAACACTCAGGAGCCTGCTGCCCGTCGTCAGGGGCAAAGGCTCCCCAGTTTCCCTAGCCAGTTGCATTCCTTTTGATTTGTCTGCATTTCCCTCCCCTGGGCAGGATCCTATGACGGGGAGCAGCTTGCCTTGTCTCTGTGACCTGCGCTTGCAGCTTGTGTCCTCCTGCATTTTGAACTTTTCCTTGCAGCACGTAGGACTCTAAAATGAGTTTTAATGGTAGAAGCCATAGTTACTACCAGATCTTAAGGCAGTCTGCTTTTGGCCCCCAGCCAGGTTGCTTAAGGGTGAAAGGCACTGCTGGCTGTGGGTCTAGTTACAGACCCCACAGGGAACAGTGGCCAAATTCCTTTGTCCCCAGCGGCTGAGTTACAGCCATTCTGATCTGTAGGACAAGACCGTAACAAAGAGGTTCAGTATAAACTGAGTATTCACAAAACCATAGAAGAATAAAATCCACCTCTCTCCAGGCAAAGAATCCTTGCATCAAGTCTCATCACAACATTTTCTTTCCCTTTTTGTCACTCTCCAAACACAGACTTCTAGTACATAGACTCCAAAAACTTTATCTATAAAGATTCACAAAAACAATCCAAAAAAGAGGACTCGACAACATATCCCATTAACCATCTCAATAACTCTTTACATTTATTTAGAGTCTCTAGAATTGATACCACCGGTTATCAGTGATGAGTCCTGCTTCTCCACATGTTGAACTTTGAACATTATTATTTTCTTAAATTAGCCCAGGTTGTGTGTTCTTACAGCAATATCTCTGGAAAACATTAACAGGCAATCTTTAGATCGTTTATAAGGAAAATACAAAATAAAATTAACAAGAGATAAAACATATTTAGTTTGTGTAATAGCTACCTTCAAGTTTGGCTGAGTTATATATTATACCCCCTGAAAACCCCCTGAGACTCGGAAGTTAAATAAGTTGTCTAGAGTCACGCAGCTGATCCATGGGGCAAGAGCCAGGTCTGTCTGATCCCACAGCCTGCATTTTTATGCAGTTGGCTGCAACACCTGAGTAAATGCGTCTCCAGGCTTGCTGAGCACAGCCCCCTGACACCTGAGTTGGGGGTTTCCTGACACTTGGGGGACCTATCCCTGTAGTGCAGATCCTCTTCTGGAGTTGGCACCTGGGGTGTTGTGCCCCTGATCCGAGGTCTGGTAGGCCAGCTGTCCCCCAGCTGTCTGCAGACTCCTCTCCCCTGCCTTCCCCTCCCTGCACAATCCCCTTGCCTCCTCTGTCCTACCTAGGGAGGACACTCTTGACCCAGGATGAAGCTCTGCCAAGAGAGGACGCCCCTTTTGCTGAATAATTGAGAGCAGGAAATGCCCACTCTATAAAAGGAAGTGATGAGGAGGAAATTCAAAGTCAACCTGGACGTTCAGGAGGGGTGAGCCTGGCTCAGCAGAGAGTGCAGCTGAGGTCTGCCCTGATGCTGTCCTAGTCGGAGGGGCAAGGAGCTGGGAGGGGACCATGTGGCTGCCCGGAGCTCTGCTCCTGCTCAGCCTGGCAGGTGAGTGCAGCTGGGGCCTGGGGCTTGGTGCGACAGAGCAGAGCAGGGGCAGAAGGCACTGGAGAGCTGTCCAGTTCAGGAGGGAGAAGTTTGTGAATTCACCCAGCAGCAGGGCGGTGAGTCCCACACAGAGGCAAGCATCAGCCCTGAGCTCAGGAGGGAAGAGGGAAATGGGGTGGCCCTAAAGACCCCACTGGGCTGAGTGGGAGAGACACGGGTGCCAATGACAACCCAGGGCAGGGGCAATAAGGCACTGGCAATAAGGCACTGGCAGAGGTGCGCTCAGAGGACGAGGCCACTCCCCCTCTGGGAGCCAGAGAAAGCCCATCAGAGGCCACCCCTCCAGGGAGCAGAGGGGGGTGTTCCAGGGAGAGGCGCTGCCTGGGTGAAGGGACGCAGGCTCAGAAAGGAAGGGGACCCCGTGCAGAGGAGCTCTCAGGGTGCAGGTGCCAAGGAGGCCGTGTTAGATGTGGGGAGGGAAACGCAGGAGAGGAGACAGCAGGGGCTTTGGATGTCAGGCCCAGCAACAGACTTTCTGAAAGAAGACTGCCCAGGAGCCAGCAGGAAGGGAGTATCTTCCTGTCCATGGAGACCTTATGGACACCTCAAGGACCTGAGGGACATCTGGAGGTTTGCACAGTGTAGGCAGCATGTGTGGGTCACACGGTCCCCTCAGGGCCTGGAACCTGACCATAAGGCACAGGCTGGTCCTTGGGGGCCTGCCTGAAAGAGCACACCAGGGCATTCAGAGACCAGTCCCTGCCCTGGGACCCGGATTTCGAGTGTGAAGGGAGAGTCTCCGAGGTCCTCCCAGGTCTAGATTTGGAGGATTCTGCAATTCAGCCCAGAGAGCAGGGCTGGGGCACTCCTGAATTCGTGCTGCTGCTGCTGCTGATCTTATTATGACGCCAGTGGCCTGGCTGAGGCCGCAGCTCTCTTCATCCAGCAGGTCCCCACATGGTGCCCAGTTCAGAGGACAGCACTGGGGATGTCTGCTGGCTCCTAACAGATTTGCATTAGAGTTTGGCCATCCCAGTGGCTCCTTCTCTTTATCCCAACCCCGGGGTTTTGGGGAGGCTGAAGAAGGCATGGCAGGGCTGTGCGTGAGCCGGCACACTGCGCACACACACCCAGGCAGTGGACTCAGGGCACATGCAGTCAGTCACCCCAGGCACACCTCAGTGTCACACACTCATTCACAATCACACACACACGCTCTTCCACCCACAGAGGACAGCCATCTAGGCCATTCACACAAGAACTCTGTAAACTTTCCTGCAGAATCGACACAGAGGGGCAAGTGGACACCTCACAAGATGAAACACTGAGGTGTGAGCAGCCTTATGCTCTGGTCCCCAGAGCTCGGCTCAGAGGTGACTGCCATCCATCACCTCCACCCTGCCCCCAGCCACCTCTGGATCTCGCAGAAAAGGCCTGATTCACAGCTGCTCCTGGGCAGCGTGGTAACTGGCCTGACCACACTAAGCGCCTGCCCATTGGGCACCGTTACCAAGGCTGGGAGACCTGGACCTCTGTGTCCCTCCTGCTACTGGCGATGGCTGGTGGGAACAGTCTCCGCGGGGCCCCTCCTTTCTACTGTTGCCTTTCTACTTCATTTTTTCATTTTAATACTTTGTTGATGGACCTTTATTTTATTTATTTACATGTGGTGCTGAGAACCGAGCCCAGTGCCTCACTCATGCCCGGCAAGTGCGCTACCGCTGAGCCCCAGCTCCGGCCCCTCATTTTATATTTTTAAAAAAGGAAACATCCCTATGTGCCAACCTGACCCTGGATTTTAACTGCAGCCGTTGCCCTTTCCTGCAGCCCTTCTCCTATACTGGGCCCCGTGTAAGACCAGCTGTGCTCACTGTCTGAGGGGCCCTCGCGGTGGGACACCAGGGAGGCTCTGGGTCTTCAGGTGGGGCTCAGGCCACAGCTTCAGGTTCTGCTCAGATGGCGACTGGCTCCCTGGTGTCTGGGGTGGGAACCAGAGGTGGGGTCAGGGTGGGGTGACCCAACTTGGAGCCAGGTTTTTGAGCACTTGGGTGTTGTCCTCAAGTCGCTCTCTGCAGACAGGGCAGGGCCAGGTGTATCTCAGGACTTGGGCCAGGGGCTCACAAATGCTTGGTTTGCATTTCAAAGGCTCATGGGCAATTCTCTGTTTCAGCAGTTTATGGCCATTTCCTTGAGATCAGGATCCTCTTTGTGTGCCTCCCTGAATTCCTGTCTCCCATGCACACGGGGGGATTGTCCCAGGAGAGTGGGGAGCTGGAACCCAAACCTCAGCTCTTGTGTTCCAGGAAAGAAGATTCCAGTCAGACGCCAAAGGCCACGAAGAGAACTTTGTTAATAAGTGAAAGGGAAGGAAAAGCACAGCAAGGCCCCAGCAGAGGGCGCTCTTAAGAGACAGGGGACCGGCTCCCAGCAGAAAAGGACCAAGGGGACAGAGCCTCTCTGAGTTGTGACTGTTTGACGTTTACCAGGGGAACAGGGACCCCCTCTGCACCCTCAGCCAACCAGATGTTCACCTCCTCCCTTCCGTTGGGCGGTGGGGTTTTGACCCTCCTTGGTCCTCTGGGGAACTGCCCTGGTGGCCATCCTATTCAGGGGGCCACAAGTCAGGACTAACAAGTCAGTCCCATGTGAAGGTGGCACTGGGGTCCACGCTGGTTAGAAGTTACCTTAGTGCGCCTGCGCTACTCAAGGACCCTTCGTCCCAGACAAACGGAGACCCCTGGGCCACAATGCCCCCCTTCTCACCAACCCCAGTGGACCCCTCGAGTTAGATCCATGAACCCTTTTCTTTTGACAGTTTGCCATTTGCTTCTGTTTATTTTCTACGAATCAACCACCACCCTTTGCTTTCTCATCCACTTAGAAAGTAGTTTAAAGAAGACCCTAAAACCATTTAAAGAACACTTGTGACCTTGTCCCCCAGGTCACTGCTCATTGCTAGCTGCTACCTAACAGAGCGTAACAAGGGATGAGGCCCCGATGCCACTAGAACCCGGGCAGCCTCCAGGACAGACGGTGAGTGGAGGAAGCAGATGATTCCATGTTTGTGAGGTGTCGGGGGCGAGCCAGCCGCAGGGACAGCAAGCAGGTGGGGGTTGCCAGGCCTGGGGCAGGGGATGGGCCCCGCGTGCTGGGTATCGGGTTTGGTGGGAGGATGAAAATGTGCTGAAATCAGTGGTGGCCCCACGATCTTGGATTCTGCTAAGAGCCACGAACTGCACACTTCAGGAGGCTGAGTTTCATAGTGTGTGAGTTATAGCTTTTTTTAAAGTATTTTTTTTAATATCTTTATTTATTTTTATGTGGTGCTGAAGATCGAATCGGTGCCTCACATGTGCGAGGCGGGCACTGTACCCCTGAGCTACAGCCCCAGCCCAAATTATAGCTTTTATAAAAATCACCCTGGGGGCTGGGGGTGTGCACAATTGTGGAGTGCTTACCCAGCCTGGGGGAGACGCTGGGTTTGATCCCCAACACTCATACACATGCAGAGAGGGCATGTTTTTTAACCCACATTTTATAAGGAAAAATATTTGGCATTATTTTTTTAATGTTTGCCTATATTTAATTTTTTTCTACAACAAATAGATATTCTATAGTTTTTATATTAAAAGACGCTTCTATTCATAAGCTAAGCTATGGAACCATCCTAGCTGCCCTTCAACAGATGAATGGATAGAGAAAATGAGGTTAGTATATGAGACAGGTGAAGGACAGGTGGTCAGCCTAGACAGGATGAGGGCTAATTGGCCAATTATCAAAGAAAAGGAAATGGGTTACTAACATCTCAGGGGAACTGCTCCCCCCACACAGGGAGGTGCTTATGATGACCCCCAGGCTGCTCTTTTCCTGCCCTTAGGAACATAGGTGGTGGGAAGAGAGGGAGAACCTGGGATCTACAGAAAGGCAAGACACACCCACTCCTGCTGATACCCAGCTCTGGGTCCCTTTCTCTCTAGAGGAGTCTGTCTCTGTCTCTCTCTTAAATAAAACTTGCTTTCTGCATGTGCCTTGGCATTTCTAGGGTGTTTAGTCTTCAGCACCAAGGGAATGAGGACCTGATCCTGATTTCCAAGACCTGTATCATATACACAGAGGAACATTACTCAGCCATAAAAAAATGGCTTTATGACTTTTGCTGATAAATGGGTGGATCTGGAGAGTATCATGCTAAGTGAAATAGGCCAGTCCCAGCAAACCAAAGGCCAAAGTTCTCTCTGATATGCAGATGCTAACACACAATAAGGCGGGGAGAAAAGAATAGAAGTTCAGTGGATCAGACAAAGGGGAGTGAGGGGAAGGGAGGGGGATGGGAGTAGGCGAGACAGTGGAATGAACTGACGTAACTTTCCCATATTGACATATGAACCCACCACCAGGGAAACTACTCCATGAACAACCACAGGAACGGGATCCTAATTAGAAGATGTTGCCCTCCAGTGTGTATAGTACATCAGGACACCCTCCGCTGTCCTGTGGATCAAAGAACAGATGAAAAATAAAAATTAAAAAGTAGACTCCCAATGCTCCCCAACTGTCTACACAATAAAACCTAGCCCTGGTGTGGCCCAGTTGTCCCTGATGGGCTTTGCCTGCCCGCCTCTCTCTCAGCACCTGGCCCTCCCTCTTGCTCAAGGATGAAGACCTGCTGCCCCCAGGCCCCCTCGCCCCTCCTCGGGCCTGCCCTGTCCCCTGTCGCCTGGCTCCTCCAGCTTCTCTCATTTTCAGGAAGCCGCCCTGACGTCGGCTGGCCTCCACCAGAGTGGGGTGTCTGTCCCTCCCCTGCTCCCCCAATTCTGATCATGGAAGCTGGACCCTGGTCATTTATAAACCGTCTTCCCAATGGCCCTGGGCTCCTCTCTCTGGAAGTCCACAGACACTGTTAGGGGGAGAAGGAAGGAGAGGAGGGCGGGAGGGCGGGAGGGAGGTGATCTGCAGAGAGGACACCTGAGGGCCCAGGACCCGCCAGTGTGTCCACTTCCTCTCCACAGCCCTGAGGGGTGGACCTCCAGCTCCCTTCACTCTCCTTCCTGAGAAGTTGGGACCCCGGGGGTCGCCCTGCGCCTGGGTTTCCAGGAGTATGTTGGGGTCCTGCCGCAGCAGATGACCCAGGTATGTAGGTCAAAGGGCAGAGTTCAGAGGGTCAGATTCAAGGATCTGGGAAAAGGTTGGTGACAAAGAACCTGAGTGGGAACACAAGCCAGGGGCACCTGGAAAGAGCCCAGCGAGGGGACACTCAGATGGCCTTGCACGACGTCCCCAGGCCAGGTAGCTGGGAGGCAGAGCTGAGATTCAGGGCCCATTTGTCGCACCCCAAATCTGTTCCCCAGCCACTGGGGACTCTCCCCCGGACCAGGGGCAGTCGGGGTGAAACCCAGGAACTGGACGTGAAGGGGAGGCTCGAGGTGGCAGGAGCGCAGCTCTGAGCTCAGTGGCCTCCTGGAGGGACGGCAGCGCCCTGGAGCGCTAGCCTTGGCCTCCAAGGTCAAGCCCTGGGCAGTCCCTGGGCCTTCCCCTCCCCTGGAGCAAATGCCTCAGGCTCAGGTCCCGGGCCTGTGGCTCCAGATGTGGCCACCAGGGGGCAACGCCTGATGGCAGGATCCCTAGGTGTGGCCTTAGGGGGAGCTGGACCTACAGACCACAGTGGGGCTGGCCCTGGTGCTGCTGGAGCTCAGGACGGGAAAACAAGGGAACAGACATTCCTGCACCCCGGGCCGTCAGCCCAGCTCGGCTGAGGGACTCGGGCGACTTTGGAGACACCTCCCTGTCCTCGGAGCAGTGGAAGACACTGACAGTCACCCTGACGCCATCTAATCCTGCAGCGCTAGCCGTGTTGGCCTCTGTGCCCAGCAGGTCAGCATGGTGAGGGGGCACCTGGGTCATAAAACACACAAGGCGAGGTCCTTCCGCAGTCGCTCTCAGGCGGTCGGGGGAAGTGTACAGATGCAAACAATAACAACAAAGAGGAAAAGTGTCTTCTAGAATGGGAGGCTCTGCATAAAAGATACACGGGAGCTCTTTGTTCTGTTTACACCATGTTTCCTGCAGCTTGAAATTGTTTCAGAGTAGAAGTTTGCCAGGTGTGGTGGGGCACGCCTGTAATCCCAGCTACTTGGGAGGCTGAGGCAGGAGGACTGCAAGTTGGAGGCCAGCCTTAGCAACTCAGTGAAGTCCTAAGCAACTTAGCAAGAACCTAACTCAAAATGGGGTGGGATGTGGCTCAATGGTTAAGTGTTCCTGGGCTCAATCCCCAGTATCCCCCCCCAAAAAAAAGGAAAATGAGATTTTCTATAAACCCTAAGATCCAGGGGACCTAGATGCAACATTCAGATTTTCTCTTACCTATCGGAGAGGCTTTTGTTATTTCCGTGACCTCTCCCCTGGTGGCCCTTCTGTAAAATAAAGAAGGCCACCTCTCCGCACTGCTAAAGCACTCTGAATTTTATGAATAAAACTCAGCTTGTTCAGAAAGGAAGGAAGGAAACGAAGCTACTGAACTCAGTTTTGCGGTATATTTTGTCTTATCCCAATGTATCAAAGTGACCGTATCAGCAGTCCTCACTGTGGGGGGCACCCTGCACCATGTCGCAGACTCAAGACCCTCTCGGCTGGTACTGGCCGTTTCCAGAGCTGATGCCCCCTGGGGCAAGTGCCCCTCGTATCTGGCAGCACAAGTGCCGAGTCTGGTTCCCTGGGCTCCTCCACGCCCTGTCTGGGCTGCGAGGCCACCAGCCCCTTCCCTGCCCCGTCCAGGCCACCTTTCCCCACCAGAGGCTGGAGGTCCCCGCTCCTCGGGCTGCTCCCTCAAGTCGGCCTACACCTTCCTTCCTCCCCGACGGAGGCTGGAAGCCTTTGAACTCCAGGGCCAACCCTCGGACTCTCTGCTCTGCTTGCTGCCACCTCTCCTGGTCCCCACAGCGAGGAGGGCTGAGGCCGAGTGGGCTGGCTGGGTCAGGAGGGCTGGAAGGACATCAGCCAGCACCTCAAAACAGTCCCCCACTGTCACAAGTCGTTGCTTTGATCTGGGGTCTTTGTGTGCGTGTGCGTGTCCATCCACTGAGATCGTCCCCTGTCTGATGACGCGTAGGATCACCGTGATCATTTAAGTCCCCGTATAGAACTAAGTGCAATACAGGTCCAGGACAGGCAGGAGCTGCGGGGCTGACCGTCCAGCACTCCAGCAGACGGAGCCCCGTGGCCCAGCCCTCATCCTCCGTTCTCTGTGGGTCTGTCTGTCTGATCCTGGGCCGGTCCCCCACACCATCTTAATTACTGTGGCTTCATGGTGTGTCTTAACATCGAGCACGACAAGTCCTTTGCTTTACTCCTTTGAAAGGATGGATTAGTATTCATACGCCTTTATCCAGCTGCATGAATTTTAAAGTAAGTTTTAAGTCCACCCCCACAAAAAAGAAGTGGCTGGAGTTTTTATTGGGATGGCATTGAATGTACTGATCAATTTGGGAGAATTACGTCTCTCTGACATGAAGTCATCCAGAGTCAGAGTCTAAATACCTCTTCGTGTGCGCAGGTTGTCCTCCGGGACGTTATTAGATTTTTATTGTCCCACACATTTATCAAGACCTTGTGTCCCCTTGTCATAAGTTAGTGAGCTACTTCTACAGGTGGAGGGTGACGAGCAGGTGGGATTCAGACTGAGGGTCTGCAGCATCCATCTAAGTACAGTGGAGCCTCTCGGCCGCTTGGACCTTGTCCTTCAGCTCTACCTGACCATGGCCAAAGTGTCTGTGTATTTTATTGCACATTCAAGTAAAGGAAGGTGACGGAATGTTCCCCAGCATTAACAGGAGGACGGCAAACAATGTCTGAGATTGCTGTGACGTGAGGACCCCGGGGCACAGGAAGGCTGGGGGAGGGGAGAAGGGGATCCATGTGGAGCAGGGAGCACATGTGGGCAGGCCACCTCTGTGTGTGCAGCTGTGTCTCCGCAAAGTGACTGAACGATGTCATAGGCCACACAGCCGCATCCTGGTCCATGGCGGGCCACAGGTCCCACAGTGCTCCTAAAAGATTACGACGGAGCCGGAAAGTCCCCACCCCCTAGAGACAGCACAGGTGTCAGAGGTAGTGGCCCAGCACTGGACTGGTGGTGACGCTGGCGCTACCGAGCCTGCTGTATGGAAGTAGCTACAGCAGGTGGCCATGCACAGCCTGGGTGCTTGAGGGTGGTGACACGTGGCGTGGGCTGCTGTAGGCGTGTGCTCTGCATCTTGTCACCTTCTACTTATAAAGAACCCTAGCGTTGGCTGTGGGCGAATACGCCACCCCGTGCGGGCAGCAGCCTCACACGGCTCCAGAGAACCGTGAGCCACAGGAGCAGCAGGCGACACCATATCTGGGACACCATATCTCATCACACAGTGCAGCCGCTGTGCCAGTTCGGTCTGTGTGAGCGTCCATGACTGTTCAGACGGACGTGGTGGCCTCAGGACGTGTCCGCCCTGTTAAGTGATGCAGGACGGTAGCTGCTGTGGCCTGCATGTCCTCGCCACGCTCATGTTGGAAGGGAGAAAACCCAGGAAAACCCGCCTCTCAAGATCCAGTTGCCATTGCAGGCGCGAAGTCCTTTTTGCCTTATAAAATGTGCCCACAGGTTCCAGGGAGTACGGCAGGGGCATCCCTGGGGCTCCTTGTGCTGTCAACTGCAATAGCACCCGGGGACCCTTGGCCCGCAGCCCAGGTGGGTCAGGACACTCCAAATCCCATCCTCTTGGGGTCCCTGCTAGTGTGGTGTGAAGACATCCCTCCTGCTGGGCGCCGTGGCCACACCTGGGATCCCAGAGGCTCGGGAGGCTGAGGCAGGAGGATGGTGAGTTCAAAGCCAGCGTCAGCAATGGCGAGGCACTAAGCAACTCAGTGAGACCCTGTGTCTAAATAAAATAAAGAATAGGGCTGGGGATGTGGCTCAGAGGTTGAGTGCCCCTGAGTTCAATCCCCAGCACCCCCTCCCCCCAAAAAAAAAACACATCCTTCTGACAATCTCAAATGAGCAGAAGAGAAAGGCTTGTAAAGAAGAGTTTCGGGGACTGACAAGGGACAGCAGAGGGGATGCATGTGCCACGGGAAGCGTGGGGCCCAGGAGCACCAGAGGGCAGAGGAAGGCAAGGACCTTCAAAGGTAGAATGATGGAGGTGACAGTGCAGGACCATCCTCCTGGGCTGCAGGGGCCAAGGCAAGCAGGCGGCACGCAGCGTGGGCTGGCCAGCAGGTCCTGGGCGGACGTCATCGGCCCCTGCAGGGGTGGCCTTGGGCAGGTTGTGGTTCTGTGTGCAAGGCTGTCGTGACTTTTATGCAAGTTGTGGTTTGGCAGAGTCTCTTCTGAGCTCTCTCTTTACCAGGCAAATATATGTGGGGACCCCTTCAGGGAGGCCTGGTGTGAACGACCCCACCAGACTGCTGTCGGAATTTACCCCCGTTGTGCAGACCAGGTGGGACTTAGAAGAGGTGATCCATGGGCTAAACAGGCTGCCTCAAGAATGGGTCTTAGCCGGGCTTGGTGGCTGAGGCAGGAGAATCGTGAGTTCAAAGCCAGCCTCAGCAATGGCGAGACACTGAGCAACTCAGTGAGACCCTGTCTCTAAATAAAATATAAAATAGGGCTGGGGATGGGGCTCAGTGGTTAAGTGCCCCTGAGTTCAATCCCCAGTACCGAGAGAGAGAGAGAGAGAGAGAGAGAGAGAGAGAGAGAGAGAGAATGGGTCTCTTGCCCAGAGCAGTGGTGCATGCCTGTAATGCCAGCAGCTCAGGAGGCTGAGGCAGGAGGATCACAAGTTCAAGGTCAGCCTCAGAAATTTAGTGAGGCCCTAAGCAACTTAGCAAGACCCTGTGGGGATGTGGCTGGTGAATAAGCACTCCTGGGTTCAATCCCTGGTACAAATAAAAGAATGGGGCTCTAAAAAAAAAAAAAAAAAAGACTTATCTCTGGGAAAGCCCAGCCAAACCTATGGTTCCTCGCTGCCTAAGATGGCAGTCCCTCTCCCTATGTGATGCCATGGCTGTGTGACCTCCAGACTCTGCAGAGAGCCCCCTACCTGTAAGGCCTTCACCAAATGCAGCTACTCAGCTCTGAATTTTCCAGCTTTCAGAATCTTGAGCCAGATAAACCTTTTTCCTGCAAATTTCTCAGTCTCGGGTATTCTGTCATAGCAACAGAAAACAGACTGGGACAATGGCCTCTGGACTCCCTTGTATTAGAGTCTGACTTAAGTGACTTCATTTTGATTCTGACAGCTTTTGAAAGGAAAGTGACCACAAAACTCGGAGCAACCAAGAGATCGTTATTGCAGCAGTGCAAAAGAGGAGAAGAGAGAGAGAGAGAGAGAGAAAGAGGGGGGAAGAGCAGAGAGAGAGGGGAGGGAGAGCAAAGTGAGAGAGAGAGAGAAGAGGAGAGGAGAGAGGGAGAGCGAAAGCAAGAGAAGAGAGAGCAAGAGCAAGAGAGGGGGGCCGGCAGGAGGGAGATTTTATAGCCCAAGTCTAATGGGGCCTCTGGGTCTGCAAGCTGCCTTGTTGGGTACAGTGATTGGGTCATGCCGTAGTGTCATCTTCTGCCTTCAGCAGAGGGGGCAGGGGTCAGTCAGTGTGGGTTTCCGTTGCACCAGAGGGTGGGGGTCGATGTTCAGCCTGGAGTGGGGTTGAGTGTCCAGACTTGATGCAAACAGGTGGTACAGGACCAGACGGAGGGGGGTTGGGTGCGGGGGTTACCCTGCAGCTAACGTTTGTTCAGCCTGCCCTGCAGCTTTCACACTCCTCTTTCTCCCTGAGACTTCCTGCGGCCACACACACACACACACACACACACACACACACAGCACCCAAGGACAAGCAGTAATTCGTAGAGATGGCACCACCAGAATTCACAACTGGGCACAGATTTCCTGACCCAAGTGGGGCAGGTGCTTTTCCTGGGGAAGCTGAACAAACAGCTGCTCCACGTGGTCCTTTGGCTGCTTGGCTCCAGCCCAGAGGACAGAGGAGCAGGCACCTCGGCCTCCTGCGGCCTTCACTGCCGCAGTCCGGCTGGGCAAAATAACCGGGAGGTGACAAGCAACTTGAAGGTTGAAGTGGGAACTACTTTATTTCAGGGAAACTCAGCGGGAACTCAAGGTAGCGGGTACCTAAGGTAGTGGGAGCCGCTTTATTGCGGGACAGCAGAGGTATATATACCCAACTGATTACACACAGCTTGACTCAATTAGCATCATCCAGATACAGCAATCAGCCAATAAGGAATCCCCACCATCTTAATGGCTCGGTGGTGTTGCCTCACAAACCACTCCTTCTGACAAACTGCCAGGTGCCATCTTGACTTGATTTGCGGTCCCCGACATCTCCCCCATTTTGTTTAATTAAACAACAAGTATGTGGTTTAGGGACCGTGCCTATTTTAGGTTGTCCAATACTACATATGGTCCTTACCCGTCATTGGATGGTCTGACCTCAAATCGTCAGCCTCCTGGCTTAGGTTGGTACCATTGTGATATATTTAACAACCCCTCCTTAAAGAACCATGGGCTATTTTTTTGTATTGTATCAACGGATGCCCTAACTGTTCTTGGTTTTACTGGGGCGCCTCCTTCCTTTAGCAATTTACTTAACATCCTCTCGGTTTGGTTCTTACTAACTTCTAATCCCATATTTCTGTAACAAAACTAACACAACCCACTAAGATAACACAAAACAAAACTGAAACAAAATGAAACAAAAACACATTGCATCAATTTTTCTATTTTCTTGAAACGTCCATCCGTTCTCTCTCCCTATCTGTTCCTCAGGGGCGATCAGCTTTTCTCCCGTCCTATTTATTTCTAGGGACAGGCAGCTTAAAAATGAAAGAAAAACGAAACAAGAACACACTGTTTCTTGAAATGGTCACCCATCCTCAGGGACAAGCAGTTTACCTTGTCACTTACTCCCAAGCGTCCTGGAGCTCCCCATACGGGCCACCATACTTCACCCCTGGCCTCTGTGGCTTAAGTTTCAACGCCCGCTCACCTTTCCCTGGGCCTGATGAGTGCTCAGTCAGCATCGTCCCTTCCCGTCCCTGGGAGTGGGGACAGCTGCCTGCAGAGGCCTCCCTCCCCTGTCCAGCCCCCAGCGGGAGGTGAGTGAAGAAGGCCACTTCCTCATCCTTCCAAGCCTGAGAGTTCACCTGGGGCGGGGGCTGTGTCACACATGTCCCCAGGGCCCCGCCTACCAGTCGGCATAGAGCAGACTGTCCACAAATGCTCTGGGATGAAAGCGTGGCAGCTGCCCTCGGTCTGTCCAGGCCGTGGAGAGACGGTGAGGTGGATGAGGAAATAGAGGAGGGGACATGGGGACCGTGGCTTTGGGGGCTGTGCTTGGCTGTAGGGTGGGGGCCTGGGATTTCCCCAGAGATGAGTGCCCCCCAGGGAGCAGGGGCCTCCCTCCTCCCACTCCCACTTTACAGCCCAAGTGGGGTCACCCAGGGGCTCTGAACTTGTACCTGCCCTTTTTGGGGCCCAGTCCCCTGTTAATTTGGCCATGGCTTCCCCACCTCTCCTCAGGGGAACGGGTCCCGTCTGCAGAGCCAGCGCCCACGGCTGTGCGCCCCACACCTGCTGGCTCAGGCCGAGCAAGGACAGGGCAAGGGCATCCCAGGGCTCTGTGAGGGGCACCACAGGGCCGTGCTGACCCCAGCCCCTTCCCCAGCCCAGCAAGACTGGCTGTGGCCGCGTGTGCACCTGCCTGTGTGTGTGTGTGTGTGTCCCCTTCTGCAGCTCAGAGCCTTAGTCTAAGAAGGGACAGTGTCTGGGATGGCTCAGGCGCACTCACAAGCCACTCAAAATCTAAAGCCAACGCCATGGGAGCAGCCCGGGGACCCCAGCCCTTAAAGAGTCCTCGGGAAGCAGAAGGCGCACCCCGGAAGACAGCTGGCCAAGGTGCCATCTGGCGGTCATGTCAGCTCCACGCCCCGGTCACACAGAGGAGGGGGGGGGGGCAAGTGGGCCCTCAGGCTGCGCCCCACCCAGTTACCTTCCTTATGAATCTCTCCAGAAAGAAGACCCTGCTGTGGTCCCAGCAGTGGACGCCTTGAAGGGTGTCCCAAGCCCTCCGTCCTCAGAGCTCCTCGGTGCCAGCCTGGGCTCAAAGCCAGGACACCCTTGAGATGGCATTGCAGGCAGGGGCCTGGCTTCATTTAAGTGACTTTTTTTCTTGTCCCCCTTTCTGGGGCGGAGGACTTTATTTCTGTGCCTTGTGTTGACAGTAGAGTCCAGGGAACCTGCCGTCATCAGCTCTTCTCCTCCGGCTGTTCCTTAGGTGTGGGATGGGAAGGGAGGGGACGTTCCGTGGCCTCTCTGGCCCCTGCGCAGGCCCCAGCACTGCCCGCCTTCTCCTGGCCCCTCTGGCCAGCCCGCCTCCTGCCCGCCATCCCGACCTGGCTGTGGAGCCCTTGTTTACAAGGAGGGTGGCAGGCGCCATCCTATGTGAGCCGCGTCACTTCCTGGAGCCACAGGGGACCAGGAGCTGCATCCTCCACACACAGGGGCAGAATGAAGCAGAGGAAGAGAGGACAGAGACGGGGGCTTCCCTCTGGTCCCTGAGGACCCCATTCCTGTTTGTCCTCCGTGGAGCCAGCTGGGCTGATGGCGTGGGGAGGACAAGCCACAGGGAGCTTGGCTGCCTGGCGGTCCCCATGGAGGGCAGCGGGCTGCGGGCACAGGGGGGGCCTTAGCCCTCCTTAGCCCTGGGCTTCCTGATCACGCTGTACTCTGGGACCTCCTCGGGGGGCCTCTGGGAGGGAGCCCCGCTGGCGCTGGAGTCTGGCCTCGGAGAGTCCAACACCACGGAGCTGTAGTGAGGCTCCTCCCGGGGAAAGGCCTGCAGAGAGAGCCCAGCTCAGGAGGCGGGGGGACACCTGAGGGCCCCGGGAGGCTCCCCTGGGGAGGCCTCCGCTGTCCTGGCCTCCTTTTCCCTCCAGAGCTGATGGCGGGATCCTGCCCACCCACCCCTCCACCCCACCTGCTCATGCCAAGCACGAAGTCCCTGGACCCCAGAGTCGGGGACCCTCAGTGCTGACCCTGTGTGTCCATTCATTCTACAAAAATGACACTGAGGGCCGGGTGGTGGCTCAGTGGCAGAGCGCTCGCCTGGCATGTGTGAGGCACTGGGTTCGAGTCTCAGCCCCGCCTATAACTAAGTAAACTAAATAAAGGTTCATCGACAACTAAAAAAATATAAAAAATAAAAATAAAAAGACCCTGAGGCCCTGAGAGGGTTGCACACTTGGTGGGCTCCCCTGAGATGCCCCTGGCTCCCTTTGATGGGACATCCTGGCCACGGTGCAGGGATGGTCCCTTTCTGAGGACTCAGGAATCTCACATGCAGAACCCTGGCCCCTGGTGGAGCCTGGCAGGCTCCCCAGATCTACCCTGAGCTTGTTGTGCAGGGCAAGGTCCTGACTTGTCCCCACGCAGCTGGCAGAAGAGTGAGGCTCTGCCCCGGCCAGCAGAGACCATGAGTCACCACGTGGGACAAGCGAGGCTGCGGCTGGTCTCAGACCCAGCCTGTGGCCGCGTGGGCATGCGGATGTCAGGTGAGGAGGAGACAGGCCTGATGCAGGGTAACTAGGTACTGCCAGCTGCTCAGAGGCCCCGGCCACGCCCCCCATGACAGCTGACGCAGGGCAGGGCGGGCACGACGGGGGGCAGGAGGGGACAGCAGAGCAGCCCCATTCCCCTGCAGGTGACAGGTCCCAGGCTGGACACAGAGCTGGGCCCCTTTCCCAGAGCAGACCAGCGGCGGTGCCACCCACTGAGGCCTGGGCTGGGGCTCCGAGGTCTCCCCAGGCAGCCCCTGGCTGATGCTCAGATCTCCCCCCAGTCTCTGCCTGAAGTCCCCCACCAGCGGGTGGGTCACACCCTGAGGAGGCCACCCATTCCGTTTATCCCACTCCGTTGGTGACAGTGCCTAAGGGTTGTTCAGGTCCTGGACAAAGTGAATCCAAGAGATGACCAGGACCAACCCAGGGAGAGGTCATGAGCTTTGTCACTGGCTGTGTGGTATGCAGTAGGAGCTTAATAAACGCTGCACCTTACTGACTGTCGCGGCCATCGTCACTGGCCACTGTCACTGGCCATCATCGTAGCCCTTCCACACCCTGCCCAGCCACCCGGACACCAGCCTCCTCTAAGGGCAAATTCTGCACCTGCCCCTCCCCAGCCTCCTTCCCTCTCTGCCCACGCCCACCCCACGTGGGGCAGCCCAGGGTCCCCTGCCAGGGGCCAGGACCTGGCTTACCAACATGCTGTACTCCACCTCCGCCTGCCTCGGGGGCACTGGCTCTTCCCGCAGGGACCACGTCTGCAGCGTCAGATTTGTGTAGTAGGGCTCACTCTGCCCGGCAGCCTGCGGGGCCAGGAGGAGGTGTCCACGGGCCTCCCCACCACGGCTCTGTCCTTCTTTCGCCCAGGTTCCAGGTGGGGGCCCCAAACTTCCCTGGGTCTGCTCGTTCCTGCACCCTCCCGTCGGGGCAGTGAGCGCCCCCCTGGGGAACGTTCCTCCCCCTGCCACTCGGGGGACAGGCCCAAACTGGGGACGACATGGATGACTAGATCTCAGGAGACACTCTTCCCTCTCTGGACCCATCCATCTGTGGCCCAGGGACCATCCGGCTGCAGCCCCAACGTCCCCCACGCTGCCCCTGCCCAGCCACCCGGATGCACCTCCTGTGGTGGCCTTCCTTACCTGCCTGAGGTCCTGGGACAGTTCTGAGCGCTCACCAGCTGAGACAGGGAGAGAGAGCAGGGGGACTCATGTGAGCCAGGCTGGGGACCCCGGAGAAGCCCTAGGCTCCTCTCCCCTCAGACCTGGAGCGGGCGGGAAGCAGCGTGGCTGGAGGAATAAGCGGGTCCCCGGGCATGCAGGGAGGAGGAGTGACAGCCGCTAAGCGGGCAGCGGACACGGCCCAGCTGGAGGAGAGGCGCAGGGCTAGTTCCCAGCAGCCGCTCACCAGGCGTCATGGGGTAGACAGGCAGGAGGGACAGGGTGTGCACCAGGGACCTGCCCAGACTGCGCCAGACCCCGAGAGGTCGCTGGGGCAATGCGCCGACCCCGGGCCTGGGCCCTCCCTGCGGCTGGGGGAGGCCTGGCAGCCTGCGGGGGCAGCTCAGGCAGGTCCCACCCTGGCTCTGGCTCCTGCCACGTTGCTGTAGGGTCCTGCCTTTGAGTGCAGCCACATACACCCTGACTTCTCAATCCCAGCCTGGGGGCTGGCCGGCAGTAGGTGACACAGGGTCTAGTCCACAGCCAGGCCACCAGAGCCACTGCCTGCATGCTGCAGAGACACGGCAGGGAGCACCGGGTCACAGGGCAGCAGCCAGACCTTGGGAGACACAAGTCCACAAGACACTAGCATGCACCAAGTCCTCAGGGGAACTGAGAGCAGCAACTGGGCGCTGGGGACATGAACGCAGTCTGTTCTGAATACCGTGGGCGGGCTCCACGCCACACCTGGGACAGGAGCTCTGGGGAAGGAGGAAAAGAGGGGGAGGGGAAGGTTCAGCTCAATGCCAGGGAGGAAGGTGTGCAGGAGGCCGCTGTCCAGGGACTGCACTGGTCACAAGGATGTCCCCAGGGCCCGCACAGGCCTGGCACACTGCAGGTGCTTGGGATGGCTCCGTGTGAATGAGTGGGTGACAAGAGGAAGCTGGCGAGGAGCTGGGGTGGGTGACGCGGAGGTGTGAGGTGAGGACGGCAGAGGGGCCAGCGGGACTGGGCCCAGGCAGCGCCAGGAGGGGTGAGCTGGGCACTTGCAAAGCCAGGGAGGGAGGGGAGCCGGGGGTTGAACAGAGAGCCTTTCCCCTGCGCCTGAGGCTGCGGTCAACAAATACAAGACGCCCATTCCCCGCCAACAGTGCAGCCGCGGCTTCCAGAATGTTTATCAGCGGGGAAGCGGTACAGTCTGTTAGGTGCAGAAAATCCTAGGTCTTAGGGGGAATTCTTGCTATGAATCAGAGTCTTTAAGAAACCATCTCTGCATCTGCAGCCGAGAAAAAAGGCGGGACCCGCCCTGAGTGTAGTGGCTGGACTTCTCTGGGCGGTGGGTTTTCTGCAGGGAATTTACCCACTTCTTTGTGCTTCTGTTCATTGTTCACGTCCCACAGTCATGGTGTGACCCTCTTTTAAAAGGGAAGGAAGCTGCTTGAGGAGCCGGAGCCTTTCTAGGTGAAAGGGCACCAGGGAGCCTGCTGGGGCCCCGGGGACTGAGCCACCAGATGGGAAACCCCCACGTGGCAGGCAGTGTCCTCCCGGGGTGCGGCTTGGGAGGGACCAGAAAACTACCCCAAAAAAAGCAGAGGGAAAGAGGAAGTGATTCTCTTTCCAGGATCTGCCCAGATGCTGAGGCTGACCTCTTCCCACAGGCCAGGGCCCCCAGGAGAGCCCGAGGTGGACTGAGGCAGCATCCCTTGACCCCCACAGCAGGCACCTGCTGGCCCTGCAGCTGAGGAACAAAGTAACCCCTCTCTGCCTCCCCAGCAGTCCCCAGGGCTTGGGACGGCCTTCAGAATCCTCCCCCACAGATGCACCAACTCGGCACAGGAAGGACCTGGGGGCTCTCGCTACCCCCAGGCAGAAGCTGGCTCCCCGAGGTGGCTGGCGACCCCCACCAGGAACAAGAAGGCCACCTCTGTTGGTTCCTCTGCTCCCTGACTATCTCATCTGCTCCGCTGGTGTTTATTGAGCACCTACTTCCTGAGTGCCAGACTCAGGGTCCCCACATGTCCCCCTGTCAGTCTGAGCTCAGAGGAGGGTGAGACCAGGATGGCGGGAGGGTCCTGGGGTCCCCGTCGTGACTGCAGATATCGACACACGAATCCAACAGTGTGTCCTGGGAGTCATGCTCCCTGGCCTGGAAGTGCGTCCTGGCTGGGGGGACGCAGGCAGGGACAGGGGGACGTCAGTCTACTTCTAGCCCAGGTGCAGGGGAACGCCCAGGAGGGGCCCAGGTCCTCTTAGGAGGCCGAGGAAAGGGCCCGGGCAGAGGGCATCTAAGGGCAGTCTTTGGAGTCCAGAAGGAAGGAGCCCTGTGGGGGCGGGCGAGGCCCTCAGTGAGCCTTGAGCCACCCCAGGAGGAGGCACGAGGCTGGTTACAAGAGGGACCTTGGAGTGTGAGGAGTGGGGGGAGGCTGGGGGGTGGTCAGGGCTGAATGTGGAGGCCCTGACAGTCCCGGGGCTGGATTGGGGAAGAGTCATACAAAGGGTTTAAACAAGGAAGGCAGGGTCCCAGGGGACACCCCAGGCCCTGGCACAGGAAGGACCCCCCTCCCACAGCCTGCAACCCCACTCCCAGGGGCACGTCCTCTGGGGCCTGGCCCCGTGTGCAGCTGACCTCCATTCTGAGGAGCCAGGGCAGTGCTGCAGGTGAGGCTGTCAGGGCCTCCCCCCTGGGGCCACCGTGGAGCAGGGGTCACTCACCTTTGACCCGTTTCTGCAGCCTCCTCCAGACCAGCAGCGAGGAGCCCACCAGGAGGAGCAGCAGGAGGGACAGCAGGAGGAGCAGCACAGGGAGCCTGCGGAGGGCGGGTGAGGGCCACGTGGGGGACTGTGCGCTAGGCAGGTGCTCGGTCACTGTGCAGGGAATGACCTCAGGGGCACTCCACCACCGAGCCACATTCCCTGGTGGTTATTTAGAATCAGATTCTCCCTGAGCTGCTCAGTGCCTCACAGTTGCTGAGGCTGGCTTTGAACTTGTGATCCTCCTGCCTCAGCCTCCTGAGTCTCTGGGATCACAGGTGGGGGCCACTGTGCCCACCCAAGTCAATTTTTTAAAAGAAGGTAGAGAAGCCAGGCAAGGTGGGGAGGCTGAGGCAGGAGGATCCCTAGTTCAAACCAGCCTTAGAAAGGTGAGGTGCTGAGCTACTCAGTGAGACCCTGTCTCTAAATGAAATACAAAATAGGGCTGGGGAGGTGGCTCAGTGGTTGAGTGCCCCTGAGTTCTGAGTTCAATCCTTGGTACCAAGAAAAAAAAAAAAAAAAAGAAAAGGAGACCACAGTGGGACCCAGAAGGGCACACCTATCATTCCAGCAGGTCAGGAGGCTGTGTCAGGAGGCTCCCAAGTGTGAGGCCAGCCTCAGCAACTTAGAGAGGCCGTGTCTCAAAATTTAAAAAGGCTGGGGATGTATCACAGAAGTAAAGTGCCTCTCGGTTCAATTCCCACTACCAAAAGTAAATAAGTAAAAAGAAAAGGTAGCATAATGCTTCCTATCTACACCCCCCATGTCCCCCAGTCTTGACACTTGTGTACACGGTGTGCCCAAGAACTCTCCAGAGACCCAGAGACTCTCTGTTCACAGACAAGCCTCAAGAATGTGCAGGGCTGGGAGACAGGGGACAGGGCACAGTGGGGGACACTTCCAGCCACACACCAGGTCTGGTGCCACCCCCAACATCAAAAAGAAGCAAAGATGGGGACCAGGTTGTAGCTCAGTGCTAGAGCCCTGGCCTGGCACACAGGAGGCCCTGGGTTCCATCCTCAGCACCACATTAATAATAATAATAATTAATAATTAATGAAAAAGATAAAATAAAGGTATTGTGAAAGAAAAAAAGAAACAAAGGTCAGTGTGTATGGGTGTGTGTGTGTCCCTTCCTTTTTCACAAAAAGCAGGCAAAGTATGAACACCATCTGGTTTTACTTAACAATGCCTCTTAGCAACCTTCCCAGTCAGTGCGCAAAGAAATCCCAATCCTTCACTCTTTTGTACAGCTGCATAATATTCCATCACATGTTAGACCACACGTCCTTTAGCAGTCCCCTCTTCATGGCATCCCCCCATTTTCCTGTGTGACCCCTAACATGGCTGTAATAAGTCATCCAGTAGCTCCGTCATCCCACACCTGGATACAGAGAAGCAGATTTACCTCCAGATTTACTCAGATACAAGCTTCAAGCCCTTATGTGCTCGGGCCATTCTTCCATACCTTGCACTCATAATCTTCATGTGCAAGTGTGTGCACACACACGTGCATGTGGGCCCCTGGGGGTGGTGGAACCCAGGGCCTCCCTGCATGCTAGGCAAACACTCTGCCTAGCATCTTTCTTAAAGATGCCCCCATCCCCAAGACACACACACACACACACACACAGAGCACAAGCTTCAGACCCTGGTGACACAGCTGAGCTCCTTGCCCCTGGGCCTCTGCAGGATACACTTCTGGAAGCCGCATGTGGAGGCCTGAGTTTTGAGGTCAAGAGTCAGGCTGGCCTCTGCCTCTGCCCCAGCCTCTGGGTCTGGGGAGGGAGGTTGTCACCCTGGGAATTTCCCAAGCGACAGGAGCAGCTCTGCTGTCTGTGGCCCACACCTGACTCTGCTAAGAGGTGAGCTGACAGGAGGGGGCTGCCCACCCCAAAGACCATGTTGTTGCAGAGGCTGCAGGGACCCTGGCCTCCAGGGAGGGAGGGGCTGGAGCCCGAGTGTCCTGAAACCCCAGGGAACACCTGGACATGGGAGACGGGAGGAGCTCTGGGGACAGACACAGGGAGGTTCCTGATCCCACCCTGAGAGGGCCTGGAACTCTGTTTGGGACATCCAGACTGCACCCGTGTCCCCTCATTTGGGGGATCCTGATCTATATCCTTCATGATGAAGCCGTAATCTTAGGTATTTTTTGCAGACTCTGAGTCTGTGAATCATGGACCCCCAGGGGCCACGGGAGCCCCACATTTGTAGCCAGTTGTCAGAAGTGCTGGGACCTGGGCTGCCCCAAAGTGCAGCTGTGTCTCGTGTGGGGTCCTGGGGTCAGAGCCCTTAACCTGTGGGTCTGCAAGGACTGCAGTGGTCAGCACCAGGAGCCAACTGTCCCCCCTGGGTGAGGTCAGAGTGAGGAGCCCATGACCCCCAGAAATGGCCTGTGCCTGCTTGCATTTCTCTGAGAAGTCCACAGATGTGCTCAGATTCTCTGTGAGATTGAGGACCCCCCAGATAGAGACCCACTCAAATTAGAGGGGACAGCCCCAGACTCTGGGGTCACGCAGGCCCAGCCCAGCCCCACACCTGTGCCCATGTGACAGGTGACACAACCTCTCCTTGCAGTCTGTGAGATGATCATGGGAGCAGGTTGGGTCATGTGAGGAGCCAAGGAGGACAGCGTGTGGGGCTCTGGGCACCCGGCAGGACAGCCCCAGCCCTCATGGGTGGACACTTGCCTCCCCTCTGCCAGCCCCTCCTTGGTCTGAGCCTCTCTTGAAGCCTGGGGCAGGTCCAGTGTGGTGGCCTCAGCGACCCAAACCAGGTTACACAGACTGCAGCTTCCAACCTGGGGCCAAGGGTCAGCAGGCCTGGGCCAGCAGGGGTGTGACTCCCTCCCCCAAGTGCCCAGTCAGGGACAGGACACTTACCCTGGGCCCTGGCCATGGTAGAGGTCCTGGCTCCTGGGACCAGGGGTGGCACTCTCTGTGGCCAGGCTGGTGGACAGTGTAGCTTGGGCTCTGCTTGTGGTTGTCAAGGTCTTCGCTGTCGTGACACTTGTAAGTGTCCCTGAGGTTGCTGGTGGCAAATCTACAATGACACCCAGAGGTCTGTCCTGCAACCCGCCCACCACTGGGGGATGCCTTGGGCCTGATTTCATGCCAAATGCTCACTCAGGAAGGGGGTGGGCGTGGCCAGGGCCAAAGTCCCCCCAGGACCCTGGGGACAATTCTGTACAGGACACAGGTACCACCCCCAACAGGGCTGATTCCTTCCTGCTGTGAGGGCCATGGCCTCCTGAGACCCCCAGGGTCACCTCCCACACCTGGTCTCGTCCCCCTCCCATCACAGCCACATGCTGCAGGGATATCTAACTGCAAAGACCACTTGTCACTGTGCTGCCTCTGCCCACTGCACCATCCAGGACTTCTGCCCCTCTGCTCCGCCCTGGGTGTCCACACAGAGCTCTGCCTGTCCCTGTCCCCAGGGCCTAGGGTGGGCACTGGCTCTCTCCCCTGCAGGCTCTGCTCTCGCCTCCTTCCCTGACTGGCAGCTCCTCAGGGCTGGGCCGGCTGTGGGCTGCTCCCCCACTTGGACTCCCTCCCAGGCTCCAGCTGCTGCTTTCTGATTCTTCCCCAGGTGTCCAGGTCCAGGCAGCCCAGGCGCTG